GGCCCACTCCCGAGGCCTCCCGGACCGCAAGAGGGCACTGGCTAGGCTGAGGGACACCCCCCTCCCCCGCCAAGTGCATGAATTTTGTGTACCGGGCCTCTAGTATATGTATAATAGGATCCTTACCCTCCACTCCACAAAAAATAACTCAAACAAAGGAATGGTTTAACCCCTTCCCCAACAATTTTTTTGTTAAAAACATTTCTTTTTCAGACTAATTTATTTTGGTTCTATATAGTATTTTTGATGCTGGTTATGAAAACAGTTTGTAACTCGTCTTCCTATAAACCATATTTTTTTACCATATTTTCTTAGTATACTCGTCGACGACTGAAAAAGAACATTTTGTGAAAGCGAGTATACACGTTTCTGCTGGGGAAGGGGTTTAAATAATAAAAAGTGTAATTCAGGAATAATTTATATTACAATAAGATTTGTAGCTACAAATTGAAAGGATAACCAGAACAGCCAACATCTAGATAGTGATAAAATACTAGACTCAAACAATAAAAAAAAAAAAGTCCTTTGGTCATCCAGGCATAAAGACCAAGTGACTCATAAAAGAAAGAAAATCAGACACTTTGACGACAAACCTTTATAACAAATCAGTGTAGTAACAGTTGCAGTATTCAATAAAAGAAAACGTGCCAGCACCGGTTTTGTTCAGTGGATGGAGTGTCGGCCTTTGGACTCAGGGGTCCCGGGTTCGATTCCGGTCAAGGGCATGTACCTTGGTTTCGGGCACATCCCTAGTAAGACATGTGCAGGAGGCAGCTGATCGATGTTTCTAACTCTCTATCCCTTTCCCTTCCTCTCTGTAAAAAATCAATAAAATATATTAAAAAAGAAAAGAAAACGTGAGCCAAGGGTTTTATGCTATGTCAAACTTCCCTTCAGTTATAAAGGTTAAGTATCAATGTATAGAAATTCAGAATACTGTTCCTAAGGCTTTTCCTGAGGAAAGTACTAGACAACAAGCTTCAGACAACCAAACTGACCAGAAAGACAGCAAGCAAGCAACAAAAGGAATGGTGGTAAATATTAAGTATATGCTTAATTGTAGAACTAAGACTAAGTGAGAGTTAAAATAAAGTATTGGCATGTAATAGCTATAGCTCTGTCAGTCTATTTACAGCATAACTATTTTAATGAGAGAATGGGGAAAACATGTACAAAAAACATTTTAATCATACTGGTGGTATAATATTGATACTGTTTTTCTCAGACTATTGTAATATGGAATAAAGCTATTGAATATGATATTCTATACCTGTATCCTTAAAAGTCAGGATTCTTGGGGTAGAAGAAAGGAAATACAGATATAAGAAATGTTCAGTAAAACCCCAAGGTACTCAATTTGAATTAGAAATATCAATAAGAAGTATTTTATCTTTGAAAATGTGTCCTATACATACACACCTGCCCCACTTAAAAGGTCTGCTTTCTACACTGAAAAGATCTAAAAATAATGATCAATCCCACAGCAATGAGCATTCCTAATGCCCAGATTGTGGTCTTGAAATACCATTACTGGAAAGAGCATGTATTGTAAGATAAGCTTGGGATTTTTTGTCATACTAAGTAGCAAAGGAGAAAAGACTACTAGAGTTGTAGCAAAAGGATTCAGAAGCCAAATTAGAGGTTCCCACTGGCCAAACATGGGATAGTTCATGTATCAATTAAGGTTAATAACTGCAAGGGTTTAGTCAACTGTAATTAAATCTGTGAGTTCACAGTAATATTTCATCTTAGAAACTAGCATGCATTTTATCTTTTCCATATGAATCATACCGTGGGTCACCAAATAGAGTAAGTTCCTTTTAATTGAAGTATAATAGCTAATAAGGAAGAAGTGAAAAAATTAGAAGGTCATTGTTTTGCAGCTTGTGGTGAGTTAATAGTTTTAGGCTGTAGGCAATCAATGCGTGCCACCATCTCACAAAGAAGCACAACCAGATGTATGTGTCTCCTAAAAGAAAAACACAACATCAGTAAGAAGTTGCCTTGCCAAAATAAAGAGGCAGGGAGGAGATTCTGTAACCTCTAGAACCAATTACCAATTTATAGAAAATACAGAGGGCCCTAACCAGTTTGGCTCAGCGGATAGAGCGTCAGCCTGCGGACTGAAGGGTCCCAGGTTCGATTCTGGTCAAGGGCATGTACCTTGGTTGTGGGCACATCCCCAGTGGGGGGGCATGCAGTTTCTCTCTCATCGATGTTTCTGACTCTCTATCCCTCCTCTCTGTAAAAAATCAATAAAATATATTTTAAAAAAAAAGAAAAGAAAACACAGAGGTATAAGATTTTTTTGAAGTAATCTGTAGATGAAGAGAGTTTGAAGTTTTTTGTAGACAAACTATAGTTTTGAGGGATACACAAAAGCAAACAGGCGATTGCTGTAAATCAGGAAAGAAGGATTTTCTTTTTTTGTTTTTGAATGAGGCTTATAAAATGTTTACAAAAATTTGGCCTATTTTATGCAGTTACTTTACATTTTTAAAAATCAGTGAAAAGAGAGCAAAGCTATCACATAAATAGGGGCGGATTTCTGAAAATTCTAGAAAGAATGTGACTAAAAGTGCAGGTATCTGACTGGGCAAAGGTAATGGTCACGTTAACGAGAAAGGTGTCTTAAGACTGGCAGACAAAGCAGGCAACTCCATAGAATTTATTACAGGGTCATTTACATAATGAAAGATTGGGTTGAAGACCTAGGGACTGCAGATTATTCTCTATGATATACTTTTTTAAAAAAAATTTTTTTTTAATATATTTTATTGATTTTTTATAGAGAGGAAGGGAGAGGGATAGAGAGTTAGAAACATCAATGAGAGAGAGAAACATCGATCAGCTGCCTCCTGCACACCCCCTACTGGGGATGTGCCCGCAACCAAGGTACATGTCCTTGACTGGAATCGAACCTGGGACCCTTAGTCCACAGGCCTACGCTCTATCCACTGAGCAAAACCAGTTAGGGCTGGTATACTTTTTTGATAGTGTAATTTGGGTACTAATAATTGATAAGACAAAGGGACAAAAATGCAGTAGCGCCTGGGGCTGTACTTCCTGGTGGTCTTGTGATAGAGTATTGTTTATCATTGCTACTATCAGTAGTTTAATATTTCAGTTGTCATGCCATTTTGGCTATTAACTAACAAAAATATTTATAGCTTCATTTTAAGGAACACAGGTAATTGGAAGGCTTTGATATGCTTGCTAAGAACAGTGAGCTTAAATATCTCATGCTCTCACTCATTTGTGGAATATAAACAAAATCATAAACTGATGAACAAAAATAGATACAGAGACAAAAAAGCATTGAACATACTGTCAAACTTAAGCAGGAAGGCAGGGGAGGGGGGTGGTAAGAGATCAACCAAAGGGCTTGTATGCATGCATATAAGCATAGCTAATGGACACAGACACTAGAGGGGTGAGGGCATGTGCCAGGGAATGGGGGAGTGGGGGCAGTCAATGAGGGAAAAAGGAGACATATGTACAACTATTGTAATACTTTAAACAATAAAAAAAAGATTCAAAAAAGAACAATTAGGTTGGTCAAAGCATGAAACTTAAAAAATCAAATGGAATTGAGATACAGAGATGGAGTTGGTGTTTTTCACACCTACATCTATAAACTAGGCCTATTAAAACATCATATTCTAAAAAAAATTATATTCTGTCACTGGTTTATCCATTTACATAGTGAGTTGGTTTTGTATCTGCTTATTCTATAGTAATGATTCTCACCTTGACAGGTAGAAAATACATACCTGCTAGGGCCCTACTCCTAGAGATGTTTATTCAGGAGCTCTGTAGTGGAGTCTGGGCATCTTTCTATTTGTTTAATTATCCATGGTCAATTGTGCCAAAAAGACATTTCTTATTCTATTACCAGATTTTAAAGTTTAGGCTTGGACACCAGTGTCATTCTCAAGTCCAGTCTATTGCTCTTTAACACTTCTCCATCCTTTTCCTCATCTTCCTTTACTTCTGTTGCCTTCATTACTCTCCTGGACTATGAAATCAGTCTTCTAATGGTCTCCTAGTTGATGTTTAAACCCCTCAAATACATCCTTCAAGCTGCTACCAGACCATGTAAACTAATGATTTGATCATGGTTAACTCTGTTTATGAAAGAGGGGTCATTACCTATAGAAATAAAAGTCAGTCTCTGAGAAATACACCACAATCTGGCTCTTGCCTGCTTTGCCAAACATCTCTTTCCTCACAAGAGGGTCCCCTCTTTCCGTAGCACTAATCATGTTGAACTATTTGCAAATTGCTGAATATTCTATTCTTTTTCATGCTCTCCTGTCTTAGCGTTCACTGAGCATTCTGTTCTTTAGAATCGCTCATATTCCAGCTTTGGAAATCATCTTTAAGGACTCTTAGTCATCTCCCAATGAAAACTTTTCTAAGAGCACTTCTCTTTCACGTGAAATTGGCTATTCTTAGTATTCCTTCTTTAATACGGATATTTTCATAGCCCCTATAACCTTTTATTGTACCTATTTATCTTCAAGTTTATCTTTATATGAAACTAACCCTTGTGGGGACAAGGACTCTTTTTAATAGGCTTAATTACCTTTGTATTACTATTGCAGTCCCTGGCACATGGTTTGCTTCTGTCCTAAAGCAATCTTAGAAATGCTAGAATTACTACACATCTCACTGACACATTGTCCTTAAATCTGAGAAAAGTGATTCACATTCTTATTCATTCAGCTTTCTGTGGAAAGAAAACTTGAACATTTAGTCTGTTTTGTTTTGTTTTTTACTCCTCTTTTTAAAGGAAATGAAACCCAAAAGAGCCTAAAATTAATATAAGACCTATCTATTTTGTATTTCAACATCATTTATCTGTTAGTTATTTCTGAATACAGCATTAAGTAAATGCTGCTGATATTATTTGATAGGTTCCATGGTGGTGCTACTTTGCAAAAGGTGCCAAAATGATTAGCTTTCTGTATCAACCATTAATATCCCTTTTTTCCTAGCCTTCTTTGAATCCAGAAGCTGGCAAACAGAATCAGCCATGCAGACCTATTGGGACCCCTTCTGGAGTGTGGGGTAGGTAGATTTTGCCATTTTAAAGGCACAACTTTAAATTTTTCATATCAGGGAGAGGAGCAAAAATTCTTTATCTCTCGTTTTGTTTCTTTATCTTGTTTCTCTTCTCATCTATTTGCACATAGTAACTAACACCTATTAACTCCTACTCTGCCCCCCAAAAATATCATTGAAATGTAATGAGTTAGAATACAGATTGTTGAGAACTTAAAGAGCCCTGAACTTAAAGCATTTTTTTTTCTATTTTTGAAAGCAGATTTTAAGCAAAGGGAGAATAATATATAAAGCTTATAAGAAGTAATTTTTAATTAACATTGCTAATTTGCTTATTACAATTTAATTGAGTTATATGTGTTATCGGTGTCTCCTAAATATTTGGTAGGCATATATAACAATGTATTCTAAGCATTCTGAATAGTCTTCTAAAGTGTTACTTGAAAGGCTATATAATACCACATCCTATAGACTATTTTATTCAAGTTCCAGTTGCTGAGTTTTTTGTTTTGTCTTGGCAATTACAAAGGATGCTTATTATATAGGGAAAGGAGAAAATACATAAATACATATACATATACATATATATATATATATATACACTGAATAACTAGCCTTATAAAAAATTAACAGACTAATCAGTGTATTTCAAACCAAACATGATGTGGCATTAGGGTATTTGGCATTTACAAACTGTACTCTCCTAGTCCCTACATTAGACATGTTCAGTAGTCAGGCAACATATTGGGAAGGCTTTATCTAAATACTGAGTTTGGACCTTGAGTTTTAGGATTAAGGATGGTTGCTGTAACATTTCCCCTTTGTCGATGGTATATGGCAGCTTCCCCAGTTTCCTGATCTCCATTCCCATGCTGACAGGAGCTGCCACCCTCGGATATATTGTTTGCTCTGTGCCTGAGTGATATACCATATACTAGCAATGTTATGCCCCTGAAAGACTACTAACATCTTTGGACTTTCTGGTTGATTTATCACTTTAGAAGCAGGTGCTTAATATACTGTCTTTTTTCCTACAATTCCTAAGCAGTATTGCTTTTGAGGGTATCTGTTAAGTACACATCAGGAATATTTGTCCCTCAGTCTCAATTGTCAATTCTTTGTTGATTGTGAGGTCTTCATATAAACTGTGCTTCCTGTTAACTAATATCTTTACATTCTTTTGTTTCTCCACTATTTTATTTCACAGAAAACCCACCTGGTGCCAAACAAACCTCCAAAATGCTAGTTATCAAAAAAGTTTCCAAAGAAGATCCTGCTGCTGCCTTCTCTGCTGCATTCACCTCACCAGGATCTCACTATGCAAATGGGAACAAATCATCCAACCTGGTTCCAAGTGTCTATAAGAACCTGGTTCCTAAGCCTGCACCGCCTCCTTCCAAGGTATGATTTGGAATCCACGTAAGAACTTTACAGAGCAGAAGTTTGGGGATAAACCGGGGGAGGAAATAGTAAATTCATATTTTTCTGTTGAATCATTCACCAAATATTCAGAACTTGTTATATATGTATGTTTTTGTATTCGGTCTCCAAACTCTACTGGTGATGACTGGATTTTAGTAGGCCTCTCATTCTTTAGCTTCATCTCATAAACCTTTTTTTGATTTTTGTTTTTGTAAGTCAATGATTCTTTTAATCTTTATTAATTGCAGAGAGGAAGGGAGAGGGAGAGCAAGATAGAAACATCAATGATGAGAGAGAATCATTGATCAGCTGCCTCCTGCACGCCCCACACTGGGGTTTAAGCCCACTACCCAGGCATGTGCCCTAACCGGGAATCAAACTATGACCTTCTGGTTCATAGATCAACACTCAACCACTGAGCCACACTGGCCAGGCAAACCTGCTTTTTCTGATTTGCTCTTTCCATTAATACACTAACATACATCTGATCATTTAGCTGAGTATCTTGACTGCTGCTTTCCTCTTCCTCTTGATTCATTTCCCTATACCAAAAAATTATAAAGTCCCTGTCAGTTACTACTTTTCTAATTCCTATGCCCTTGTCATCTCATCTTTATTATTGTATATACATCTATTTCCTCATTTTTCTATTCATCTTCCACAGAACTGCCAGAATGATCATCCTTGAATATGTCATGTCCTTTTCCTAAATCCCTTCAGTGGTCCCAAACCATCTATATAGTAGGGGCTGGTAAACTTTTCTGTAGAGGATCATATAATAAATAGTTTAGGCTTTGCTGGTCACATATGATAGATACATGGACTTTGTTTAGCCCATGAGTCATAGCTTGCCAACCCTATCAAAGATAATCTGGGTAGGTGAATTTAAGATAGCAATGAGGGTTGTCAGCACTTGTCAATTGTTGATGAGAGATTAAGGAAAATAACTGAAAGAACATGTTTAACCTTAGCAGTTTGAAAGTTTTTGGTAATCTTTTTTTTAAAATATATTTTATTGATTTTTTACAGAGAGGAAGGGAGAGAGAAAGAGAGTCAGAAACATCGATGAGAGAGAAACATCGATCAGCTGCCTCCTGCACATCTCCTACTGGGGATGTGCCCGCAACCCAGGTACATGTCCTTGACCGGAATCGAACCTGGGACCCTTCAGTCTGCAGGCCGACGCTCTATCCACTGAGCCAAACCGGTTTTGGCGTTTTTGGTAATCTTTGAGTTGAGGTTTTAGGAAAGTAGCATAGGTCTGAAAGAACAATTCAGGAGATTCTGGAATTCGTTAGGTTGAAGTGGAGATAGTGGCACATTTGAGACTTGACAGTAAAAAGAAATCGAATATAAGTGTAGGTGAAGTTAAGTGATAGGATGAAGAAAATCTTTAGGAAGAAGCCTGTGAAGACACCTGGAAATGTACTTGAAAGAGGTCATTAAGCCGAAACCGGTTTGGCTCAGTGGATAGAGTGTCGGCCTGCGGACTGAAAGGTCCTGGGTTCGATTCCGATCAGGGGCATGTACCTGGGTTGCGGGCACATCCCCAGTGGGAGATGTGCAGGAGGCAGCTGATCGATGTTTCTCTCTCATCGATGTTTCTAACTATCTCTCTCCCTTCCTCTCTGTAAAAAATCAATAAAATATATTTAAAAAAAAAAAAGAAAGAGGTCATTAAAGGATTATGGTCCAACAAGAAATAACAAGAATAAAACTTACAAGTGGAATTATTTTTTAAAAGGGTTTAAGATACTTGTTCCTCTGATGTGGAATGAAAAGAGTGTGAATTCAAGTCAAGAGAGGAACTACCATTAAGAAATAATAGCATTGAAATTAATAGAAGGGCTTTGGAGTATATTATATCTGCTTCTCAAATTCACATGTACAGTTAGATGCTTTGAGAAATAGCACAGTAAAGAAACCTATTGAACTCTATTCACTCCATCATGTTCCAGGCTTGTTGAACTAGAGTTTTTTGTTGTTGTTGTTGTTTTTGTTGTTGTTGTTTTCAGGAATCAAACCAATATCCATGGATCTTTTGGTTCCCATCTGCCTTTTTATTTCAAGTGCCTAAGAGGTTGCATTCTTCCCAAACATGTTGAAACGGGTTTACCCTGGAAAATAATGTTCCCATGTAACATTTCACTCTTTGCCTTGTGATCTTATAGGCTGAGCTGTCTGCATGCTTGTTCTGATTTGTTCTCTCTTCCCATGTAGCCCAGTGCATGGAAAGCTAACAGAATGGAACACAAATCAGGATCCCTTTCCTCTAGCCGGGAGTCTGCTTTTACCAGTCCAATCTCTGTTACCAAACCAGTAGTACTGGCTGGTGGTGCAGTTTTAAGCTCTCCCAAAGAGGTGAGTGAAGATAAAGCAGAGGCCTTTGCTAAAGTTGCCATTTCCCATTTACTTTACTGACGTACTCAGTGTGACATATACAGCTCTAAGCAGAGATTCCCTTTGTATCTCTGCTTAGCTCAAAGTTTGTTTACTAGTGATTCCTGTTAGCATTGCAAAGATGGGCAGTAGCTGAGTGGGATAGTTGTTTTGGAATAGACAAGGTTCAGCCTGTGTTAAAACTGACATTATGCTGGTGTCTGTAGAAAAATCAAAGAGGTGCTATGTAAGCCATCTAATCTTACTTAATTTTCTAAATTTTTTCATTGATTTTAGACGAAGGGAGAGAGAAACATAAATGATGAGAATTAGTGATGGGCTGCCTCCTGTATGCCCCCTACTAGAGATCGAGCCAGCAACCCGGGCATGTGCCCTGACCAGGAATCAAACCATGACCTCTTAGTTCATGGGTCCACACTCAACCACTGAGCCACACTGGCTGGGCAAGCCATCCAGTTTTAACTGTAAAAAACAGCAAAGCTAAAGTATGTTTAAATGAAAAGGATAGTTAGTTTGTTAGTTAGCTGGTCTGTTTGTTTGTTTTGGGTGTCAAAGACAGAATGATAGCTAGGCTACCAGATTCTGGAGATCAATCCATGTAGAAGTGACCCGGAGAATCCCAGTAGTTGCTGTTTGCAATCTATTTGTGCAGAGTCCCTCCAGCACCACTCCTCCCATTGAGATCAGCTCCTCTCGTCTGACCAAGTTGACCCGCCGAACCACCGACAGGAAAAGCGAGTTTCTGAAGACTCTGAAGGATGACCGGAACGGAGACTTCTCAGAGAGCAGAGACTGTGACAAGCTGGAGGATGTAAGAGAATAAGGTTTTTCTAGGCAGCACAGGTGTTTTCTTATGCTGTGTGTATGCTTTTTTTCTTCTTAGGAGAAGGATGGAGCAAGTTTTTAAATTTATAGAAAAGTGTCTGTAGGACTAACAGCCTCTGGTAGAATGAGTTTAATTCTTTGGTCAACAGATATCAAATTAGGGTTTATTTTAATGATAGTTGCCTTGGGACTCAGTATTCTTCAACTGAGCAGCACTGCTTTAGTCCTGAACTGGTCAGGCCTGTAAGAAGTTGGTAAGTAATAGAAGAAGAAGAAGAAGAAGTTGTCAGTTAGGGCTATATTGTATTGCAAAATAAGAACAATAGTATCTAGTAGCCTCTCCATTATTGACATAACCTGTATATGGTGGCCAGTTGGTATCCTTTGGAAATCTTAGCAAGTCCTCATTTTTTTTTAAAATATATTTCTATTGATTTCAGAGAGGAAGGGAGAGGGAGAGAGAGAGATAGAAACATCAATGATGAGAGAGAATCATTGATCAGCTGCCTCCTGCACACTCCCTGCCTGGGATCAAGCCCGCAACCCGGGCATGTGCCCTTGACTGGAATCGAACTCAGGACACTTCAGTCCGCAGGTTGACTGCTCTATCCAATTTTTAAAAATATATATTTTATTGATTTTAGAGAGGAAGGGAGAGGGAGAGACAGAAACATCTATGATGAGAGAGAATCATCGATCAGCGGCCTCCTGCATTCTCCTGAGCCTGAAACCCAGGCATGTGCCTGACCAGGAATCAAACTGTGACCTCCTGGTTCATAGGTCAGTGCTCAACCACTGAGCCACACCAGGCCGGTACAAGTCCTCATTTTTTAATTTTTTTTTAAAGATCCTTAAGTTAATTTTAAAGAGGGAGAGAGAGGTGACAGTTGACAGCAAAACATCAATCGGCTGTCTCCTGCACGTTCCCCACAACCCAGGCATGTGCCCTGACTTGGAATTGAACTGGTAACCCTTTGGTGCATGAGACAGCTCCCAACCAACTGAGCCACAGTGGCCAGGGCTATTCCTCATTTTTAAATGGGGAAAACCTATGGGTTGAAGTTGTCTTCTGTCAAGCACTTCCCTGGGTTCTGACTCCTTCTTGTAGATCGCTTTTCTTGCCTGAAAGGATTGTTACACAAAGTGAGTTCTTTTCCTTACTGCAGTTGGAGGACAACAGCACACCTGAACCAAAGGAAAATGGAGAGGAAGGCGGTCATCAGAATGGTCTCCCTCTCCCTGTAGAGGAGGAAGGGGAGGTCCTCTCACACTCACTGGAAGCAGAGCACAGGTAAGTGAGGATCAGATCACAGAGAATGCTGTGTGTGGCTTGCAAGGAGCTGGACCATACTTAAGACATCTCGGGTTGAGTCCAGCATACAAATGGAAGTCCCATGAGCACCCTAACTTGTTCTCTATATGCCCCAGATTGACCTGTTTCTCAGTGGGTGTTCCTTAACAGAATCAACCAGCTTTTTGAAACTCCTAAGGCTTTTCTGTAGTTTCAGACTCAGTTTATGGCTCCAGTTGAAAAGAGGAGAGGGAGACCTGTTTCCTGGGACTGTTGTGCTCTCTCCTTGGACCCTCCTGGCCCAACTGAGCAGTTACTATAAGACTCCTTGAAGGGGCCTTGGGAGGCATGGGGCCCCAATTCTGGAGCTTGTTCTTTAAGTGAGACCCTTAAACACAGAGCAGCCAACTGTCTGGGCAGCTGAATGGCACATGGGGCCTACCAAGTGATATAGTACCTTTCTGCAGGAGGCTCCTGTCCAGATGAACTTTTGGGGTCATAATGTTAAGGAGAACATTAATGTCATGAAATTGAACAAGAACTTCATTACATGTGGAAATGTGCTAATTTGCTCACGAGACAAAAGTGAGATTTATTCCTCTGTTTTGTCTATGGGACAGTGAGGGCCCTTGCAGTTTGGCTCCTTTCATTATGCGGTCTTATTTTCTGCTTTTAGTATCTCTTCTCTGTAACTCTTATGATCTGGAAAGAGCAACTGTGGAAATCCCTTATATAATTACAAGCACCTAAATAACAATGATTACAGCTTATTTCACTGGGGATAAAAGAACCTAAGTTTCTTGTCCAACATCAAAGTGGGTACCATTGCCCCGGGGAGAAAAGTTTTCTGTGGAAAGTTGTGGGCTTCCCACCTATGCTTCAAGGTGTGTTTTCTTTGCCTGACCGACCGCCTTCCCCCAGGCTGTTGAGAGCAATGGGATGGCAGGAGTACCCTGAAAACGATGAGAATTACCTCCCCCTCACGGAGGATGAGCTGAAGGAGTTCCATATGAAGACAGAGCAGGTATGTCATAGCCTTTCCTGGAGACCAGTTAACGAGTAGGGAAATGGAGATGTCAGGACAGTCGTAGCCCTTAAGGAGCCCAGCTTAGTGTGAGAGAAGGACCTTGAAAAAGAAAATATAAGTTGCCATTATACATATATAAATAAAACCTAAGCGACCATTCAGTCCTTCACCGGTAGCTATGATGCACAGTAACCACCAGGAGAAAGACCCTCAACACAAGAGCTGCCAAACTGCAGTGACTTTGTAGCTTTGGTTCTTGGAAGCCAGATTCTGGGATACGTCACCCGAGAACCATCCTCTCGCAATCCGGGACCCCTCAAGAAATGTCAGAGAGCCAGTTTCAGCCCGATCCCTGCAGACCAGGCCAAGGGGACCACACACACACACACACACACACACACACACGCGCACACACGCACACACACACGCACACACACGCACACACACACCCGTGCACCGGGCCTCTAGTCAAAATATAAAAGAACATCTAAATCTGCACAGGTAATAGCGATCCGCAGTGTTGCATACAAAAACCAGGTCAGGGTTAGCAGGTTCCAGGAGGTAGTATGTGCTTTCATCCTGGAAGCTTCCACCCCTTATCAGTACCTCAAGACTATATTCCAAAGTTGTGAAATAAGCCCTTGGTCCCTAGGGAAGCAGGCTCACCCTCTTGTGATGTTAGCCCTGTAGGTTTCCTCTGGTACTCTGGCCAGAGCCAAGAAGCCAAATTTGAATTTATTCAATAAATGCTTGAATTCTTGCTCTGAGTAAAATACTGCCAGACCTTAGATTTTACAGTGATGGACAAGATCAGTGGAATCTCTACAAACCTCATGGAGCTTCTATCCTGGTGGTATATATATAAATCATAAGTACCAATTGTGTCCTATAAAGCAAAAATATAGGCTAAAACACTTTGCTACCCAGAACTCTGTTTCCCTCTCAATGTCATCACCTGGGAACTTGTAGAAATATGGAAGCTCAAACCTACCCCAGTCATCCTTTATCTGCATTTTAAACAGATCCTTGGATTATTTGTGATTAAAGTGTGCTAAGCACTCCTACAAGAAATCTTGCATCTCTTAGAAGGCCTCCCTCTACATTCTGCCTAGAATTGAATTGAGACCTGGCCTTTCCAGGTCCCAAGGGCCCTGTGTCAATACTGATGTTTTGTTTTGTTTTTTTCTTTGTTTCCCATGCTTACACAGCTGAGAAGAAATGGCTTTGGGAAGAATGGCTTCTTGCAAAGCCGCACTTCTAGCCTGTTCTCCCCTTGGAGAAGCACGTGCAAAGCAGAGTTTGAGGATTCAGACACAGAAACCAGTAGCAGTGAAACATCAGATGACGATGCCTGGAAGTAGGCACATAAATGTTCACAGTTAAATCTGACCCATAAACTCAGCTTGTGTGCTTACGGAGAATACAAAAAAACCTTTTCCTTTTCTTATGTTGTTGAATATTTCATGCACAAGGGAAATAATCATATCCCAAAGAGAGAGCGATTGGCTTGTTTAGCTTTTGTTGTTTTTCTTTCCTGTTATTTGCTTAGTAGAGAAAATTTGTGTGGTGAGAAATATTTGGATATAGGAAATGTGTTATTCTTGCAGCCTTGATATTCAGGGTGGATTGTAAAATATAAATTTTTGTGAGATTTCAAAGATTAAGATTATTTTGATAACATTATTTACAGATTTAAAAGATGTGGTTATCACAAGTCTTGAGGGGGAAACTACTGCATAAAATAACTAACTTGGAATAAATATTTTGCATCAGTTTGGATTGTCTTGTGTAAGAAGTATATTTTCTTTAATATTAGATTGGGTGGTTTCTTTTTTAGGGGAACTACTTCTGGCAGTCTGAGGAACATCTAAATTCACACACACCTGTTTCTCCTTTTAGCAGCTACTTTTTTGAAAACCTGTGCAATAAAATTACGAGTAATGAAATGAGAAACCCAAGTTTATTTCCAGAAACTGTAATTCACTGCCCATTTATTTACCGATGTATGTATATTAAGGAAGGTCTGTGCCTCAACTTTCCTGCCAAATAAGAACATGTGGGAAAGGGTTTGAGCCAATGCTGGCTGGGTGACCAGTGGAGGAGACAGATTTTTTCATTCAACAAACACTCCCCAGGTTCTTGTGTGTCCCAGGTATTGTGCAAGGCTCTGGGTGATACGAGGAGTGCCCGGACCAGTAGGGAAGAGAAGACACAGTTATGTTAAAAATGAAAATTTAACCCTGGCCAGGTAGCTCAGTTGGTTTGAGCCGTGGTCGGCAAACTGCGGCTCGCGAGCCACATCCAGCTCTTTGACCCCTTGAGTGTGGCTCTTCCACAAAATACCACGTGCAGGCACGCACACTGTGCGAGTGAAACTTCGTGGCCCATGCGCAGAAGTCGGTTTTCGGCCTGGGCGAGTCTATTTTGAAGAAATACTGTTGATATTTGGCTCTGTTGACTAATGAGTTTGCCGACCACTGGGTTAGAGCATCATCCCCATATGCCAAGGTTACAGATTTTATCCCCAGTCAGGACACACACAAGAATCAACCAGTGAGCCTGATTAGTTGTGGCTCAGTTTGTTGGGCATCGTTCTGTGCACTGAAAGGTTTCTGGTTAGATTCCCAGTCAGGGCACATGCCCAGTTTGCAGACTGGATTCCCCAGTAGGGAGTGTGCAGGAGGCCGTCAATTGATGTTTCGCTCTTTCTCTCTAAAAATCAATACAAATATTTTTTTAATCAACCAATGAATGCATAAATAACTAGAACAACAAATCAGTGTTTCTCTCTACCTCCCTTCTCTTTCTAAAATCAGTCAATAAAAAGAATATCCCTGTTGGTGGTGTCGGTGGTTATAGTGTTGGCCCACTCACTGACTCAATTCCTGGTCAAGGGCACACACCTGGGTTACAGATTCAATCCCTGCTATGGTTGGGGCCCATGTGGGAGGCAACCAATGAATGCGTCCCTCACATTGGGGTGTGTGTGTGTGTGTGTGTGTGTGTGTGTGTGTGTGTGTGTTTCCTGATACCTGCCCTCCCTTCCACTGTAAAAGGCAATGGAAAAAATATCCTCAGATGAGCATTAACAAAAGCAATACATCTTTTTAATGTATTTTTATTGGCCCAGCTGGTTTGGCTGAGTGGATAGAGCATCGGCCTGTGGACCAAAGGGTAAAAGGTTCGATTCTGGTCAAGAGTTCCTACCTTGCCCTAACCGGTTTGGCTCAGGGGATAGAGCGTCAGCCTGCGGACTAAAGGGCCCCAGGTTCAATTCCGGTCAAGGGCATGTACCTTAGTCGTGGGCACATCCCCAGTGGGGGGTGTGCAGGAGGCAGCTGATCGATGTTTCTAACTCTATCCCTCTCCCTTCTTCTCTGTAAAAAAACCAATAAAATATTTTTTAAAAAAAGAAAGTTTGTACCTCGGTTGCAGGCTCCTCCTCCCCTGGCCAGGGCTCCTGCACGAGGCAACCAATCAATGTATTTCTCTCACACAGATGTTTCTCTGTCTTTCCCTCTCCCACTCTCCCTAAAAGTCTATGGAAAAATATCCTCAGTTGAGGATTAACAAAAAATGTATATATTTTTTATTTTTCAGAGAGGAAGGGAGAGGGAGAGAAGTATAGAAACATAAATGATGAGAGTGTATCATTGATCTGCTGCCTTCTGCATGCTCCACACTGGGGATCAAGCCCACAATCCAGGCACAGGACTCAAACCATGAACTCCTGGTTCATAGGTCAATGCTCAACCACTGAGTCATGCTGGCTGGGCTCAATAAAAAAAAATATTTGAATGAAAGTTTAGGCCAAGATCTGATGGACAAGCAGAAGTTAAACAACAGCCAAAACCGGTTTGGCTCAGTGGATGGAGCATTGGCCTGCGGACTGAAGGGTCCCAGGTTCGATTCCGGTCAAGGGCATGTGCCTTGGTTGCAGGCACATCTCCGGTGGGAGATGTGTAGGAGGCAGCTGATCGATGTTTCTCTCTCATCGATGTTTCTAGCTCTCTGTCTCCCTTTCTCTCTCTAGGAAATCGATAAAATATATTTTTTAAAAAAAATTAACAGATATTTACTGGCACTCTTTGGCAGTCCCTACAGTAGTACATGGTCCCTAGTGGATATAGAGGTCCAAGATGCTACTCTAATGGGCGACAGCACAAGAGTAACAGGCCTGATTTCATGTTAGAAGGATGACTAAGGAAGTGTGAGCTGCAGGTGGGGTTTAGGTTAGAGACAGAGATCAGAATGACATTTGCTAGATTCGAAGGTTGGGAAGGCAGAGACTCTATCTGCCTTTCTTTACTTCTCTCTTCTGCTACTGGTATAAACAGTTCATGTGCAAGCTGTGGAATTAGTGGCTGAGATAGAGCAGTAGGAACTATATTGTATTTCATGGAATATATATACTTTTAAGACATTTTTTATGCATTAAGATAATGCTTGCCAAATTGTGACACTCCCATTAGTCATGAATCTGATGTCAGTGTTTAAAAACATGCATCTTAGAATCAATGAAATATATTCATGCACTACATAATGATGTTCCAGTTAACAGACCAAATATCAACAGTGGTCCCACCTATAATAATACAGGCTTAACATGCTAATTAGACCAGACAGCCGAACAACCCTCTGGATGACCTTCGGGACAAAGCCGGGGCTGTGAGGGCCAAAGCAGCCACTGTAGCTGCAAGGGCTGAGCCCCTTGCACAAATTTTGTGCATCAGGCCTCTAGTCTATATCTATATATATAAAAGGTTAACTGTCTGTCTGACCGGTAGCTATGATATACAATGACCACCAAGAGGCAGATACTCAACGCAGGAGCTGCCATGATACACACTGGCCATTTAAAAATAAACAATAGAAACCAAGATGGCGCCGAAACCGGTTTGGCTCAGTGGATAGAGCATCGGGCTGCGGACTGAAAGGTCCCAGGTTCGATTCCGGTCAAGGGCATGTACCTGGGTTGCGGGCACATCCCCGGTGGGAGATGTGCAGGAGGCAGCTGATCGATGTTTCTCTCTCATCGATGTTTCTAATTCTCTATCCCTCTCCCTTCCTCTGTGTAAAAAATCAATAAAATATATTAAAAAAAAAAAAAAGAAACCAAGATGGCGGCATAGGTAAACAGAGTTTGCTGCCTTGAACAACCACTTCAAAAATACAACTAAAAGATGGAACGGACATCATCCAGAACCACAGGAAGGCTGGCTGAGTGGAAATTCCACAACTAGAAGGAAAGAGAAAAGCATACCGAGACTCAGAGGGGGCGCAGTACGGAAGTAAAATACTAAGGTGCGGAGGTGCATGCAGAGCGGGCTGGTGGCTGAGGGCGCAGTTGTCATTTTCAATCGGGAGGGAGTCTCAGGCGCTGAGCTCCAGTTCCAGGCGAGTCTCTGGGAACCCAGACTCATACGGGAGAAGCAGGACTGTCTGGCAGTGGTCGGAACTCGAGGGCAGCTCTCTCTCTCGGAGGGGCAAGCAGCGATTGCCCAGACACTGAGAAGCGGAGCCTCTGAGAGCAGCCATAACTGCTACCTCCGCCCTGTTCATCCCGTGGGATGCGCCCAAGCCCTGCAGGGAGGCTTTTGCTGGATAGCCTAAGGCTAGATTGGCACCTCCCTAGAGATCCAGGAGCCAGGAGCCACCCAAGGTCAGAGTGGAACCATCCAGTTTGCAGCTCCCTGAAACCATAAAGGACACTCTCAGTGGGCAGACTCAGCACCAAAGCCTCATTGAAGAAAGTCCTGCCCAAGAGGGGTGTCTCCAGCACAGAAGTTCTCCCACTGCAGACACAGCTGATTCTCATAGCCAATTGGCCTGGAGGTTAATTCCTCCCAGTGATACCTACAACAATCAAGGCTTAACTACAACAAAACTGTGCACAAAACCCACAAGGGGGTGCACCAAGAGTGTCCTCCTTTTTCAAGAATTTTCTAGAG